GTCTTCTACAGCTACGTTTCGTTGAGTTCGGCAGTAATAGTATTTCCATTCTTCCTGTTATTGTCCGCAAAGGGGGTTGGAGTGGTGAGGAAGAAGAAGAAGACGACGAATGCAAGCCCGAAGCTTTGCCGAGTTTTGCCGAAGCGCACGCTGCATTGGCGAAAGTGAAGTCGTTCTTTTATGCGCATAGTATTAGTGAACGTGACGAGGAAAACATTTTGAACGTGGAAAGTGCTCTGTTTGGTCTAAAACGTAAAGTTTCGACAAACCAGTTGTCCATTAAAGACTTTTTTGGTAAAAAGAAGTAACTTTGAAAGAGAAACATTGTTTTTTTTTAAATTTTTAATGCTTTCCCGCATCTATCGTTTTCCCGCATTCATCGTTTTTATTTCCCACCCCCGCCGAAAACGATGCATCGAGGTTTCACTGTATAATAAATTTTATGTAGGGGTTCCCTGAGACATGAATATTATTTCAAGGGTTCCGCAACGGCAAAAAGGTTGAGAAACGCTAGTTTAAAGGAACAACTCAATTGTACACATTAATTACCAATGAGGCAATGGCTTTTGAAATGGCACAGTAAAGTACAGTCGGTAATAAAATTCCTGGTACTGCTACAGTAGCTCAGAGAGATCGCCTGGAGCCACAATAAAGGTACATAAAGGGCCCTGGCAAAGATGGGATATGCCAAGCAAGCCAAAAGTAAATAATAAATTGTTTTATAAAATATACAAACAATCAGACATAAAAAGAGCATTTATAAGAGAGAAGGTTCTGTCACATGAGTACACACCCTGGATGAAATCGCCAGTGACAGGGTGAAGGGCAAAAGTTCAAAAATTACACTTCACATAATTTGAAGCTTTGAAATACTATCATTTCAGTGTTCATGTGTAAATTGTATAATCATATTTCTACAATTCTTTTTAAACACCAATAAACATGATTTGTGAGAACTTTCCAAAAAAAAAATTTTTGTTTCGTGAACATTCAGGACTTGCACAGCTTTAACTTGGCACCTATTAAAATGTTGGTAGATATCATGATGAAGTTTAAACTCTAGGTAAGAGTCTGAACTGACCGGTTGCTGCTTGGACTGAGTTGAAGATGGTCCTGCCATTGGCTTTATATTGGCTGTTGGAGGTTCAACATTAACTTTCTCAACAGGACCAGAACTTGTAGAAGGTTTGGAGCCCTGTGAATATATGGTACAACATATAATAAGACTATAAATTTTCCGATTATGTGTTGAATGAAGCAAAATCTTGATCATCAATTGTGTCCTTTCCTTAGAATAAGGTTCATTTAGCACTGGCAGTCAAGACAACCCAGTAAATAAGGTGAGAACCTGTATTATGCATTTATTACACCCCTATTTTTGGACTACACATTTGCATTAAAAATTGTGGCTTATATAAAGCAAAAATATCTTTTCTGGTTTACCAGGTGTCAGATCTTATTTACAGCCACAGTTCATTCAATGAATCTGAATTCATTATATTCCTGTCTTTAATTATGTTATTAACATACACATTTTTACTTCACTCGGTTTTCCTTTACACCTACAGAAATAATTTCTCAGTCTACTACAACTAACCAATCAGCCATACTTCACACAAACAAAAAGAACAAACATTTTCAGAAATAGACACTTATAAAATGATGTCATATGCTCCACATTACCTGCTGTTTATCCAATTGGCGTTGCAGCAGATTTAATCGCTGATTCAAAGCATCTATATCTCGCACCATACGTTCTTTTTCTTGCTGTTTCTCAGCACGCATATCTGCATTCTCTTTTTCCAAATGAGAAATCTGACTTTCATACTGTTCTTTCATATGCACAACATCTTCATCTGAAAAGAAACATAAAGTAAAGAAAATTAATTACAATATAGTGAATACAACAAACTTTGGCATCTACCAACCAGTCTACATGGCACCAAAATCCAGAGCCATCCAAGGGATCCTACAAGATTTGAGAATTTGAGTCATTCACCAGCTGAAATCATGATCATATTATGAAAACAATTTTAAGGTCTGATTTAATTCATCAATGAAGGGCAAAACTTGTGCAATATAGTAAACATGCATACATTTTTTAATTCATGGAAAGATCAAAAATAATTCACTTTATTTCTTTGTCATGTATTGAGTAATGTTAAAAAGTTTAAATTTAAAAGTAAAGATTGCCACAGCACCACTAAGCAGATCAGGACCCCATTTAAATACCAACTCAAGGGGTTAAAGGACTTGTACCTTTAGATTGTTTCAATTCAGACAGCTGACAGGTCAACTGGTTCTTTGCCTCTGTTAGTTGCATTATTTTCTGTCGAGCATTCTTCAGTACTGACTTGGCTCTTTCTTCCTTATCAGCTGCAGAAGTCTTCAATGAATCATTCTCTTTACGAAGTATTTCTGCTTCCTCATGTGAACTTGTAACCTGTGAGTCATAAAAACAACTTAACATAAATTCATGCTATTGAGAATGTAGACACCAAAAATATGTCTAACATTCCCATTCTTCAGCCTCTTCAATAAGAGTAACTTACACCACCAGCAATGATGTGCAAACATGATGCTTGAGTATGAATAATATTCTACATATACAGTCATATAAACATTTTCATTCCATCATCTGATGTTTTAACACATCAGATTGTACACAAGCTAACTTCATCCCGAGTCATTTTCAAACTGGTTGACACCACAAGTGGACAAAAGTCATTTGTTGGATGACTAATAACAACATTTCTTACATGTTATAAATATCTGTACCTGCTCTGTTAGCTCCTTGACTACATCAAAATGTCTGCTTTCAACCTCCTTAATTTTACCCTCCACTTCCCTCCTACCCTCATCACGCAGCTGCTCTTGAGTTTCCGAAGGGATGTCTTGGATGGATGCAGCTACAGCAGTAGCAGCGTCTTCCTTTTCTTTAGCAGCCTTCTTCTCCTCCTCCACTGTTTTTGTTAGTTCTTCAAATTGTGACTTGTATCGCCTGGCTATCTTACGAATCTGGAAGTAGACACAATGTAACAGACCTACTGTGAACTGCAGTAATCCATATACTTATGTAAGAAAACTTTTCAGGAACACAATATTTAAGTTAATTAAATTCATCATCATCATTATTGGCTCTACAGCCCTGTGTGGGCCCTGGCCTTCTTCAAAAGCTTCTTCCATTCTTCCTCATTCACAGACAATCTGTTTCCAAGTCTGCCGTGAATGAGTCCATTTGGCAGTTGCTTTATCTGATTTTGTAACAAGTTGCCCAACCCCCAACATGGAGGACCAGACCTCCACATTTACAGCCCCGGAGGTAGGGTGATCCAGATATACCCCCCAGGCACTGGGTAGCTCGGGTACCTCAGCGGTGCCAGTCCCCGTACCCACTGATGGGTTAATTAAAGTCAGAAAAGATATTTCAACAAAATCCAACAAAGTTTGAAAATAAACTGATATTCAATTAAACATGTTGCTATTTAAAAATGAAAAAAATTATAATCAAGTAATACGAGTGACAAACAAAGAACAATAATGTACCATAAACTGGAAAATATAATTAATTTTGTTCCTGTAACCAACATTTCTGTAGTAAAGAGATTGCACTGAAGCCCTAGGTACAAACAGGAGGGCAGTATAAAAATGGATCTTAAAGAAATAAAATGGGAGCAGTGGCAGGCTCTTGTGAAAATTTAAATGAACTTTTGAGTTCCATAAAAGGTGGGAAATTTCTTTACTTGCTTTGTTGCTGAATGACAATTAGTCTCTCAAGAAGGACCCTATTCCACAACGTTAGTTACTGATTGTAGTTTTGTATAGTGTGACAACCCAGATGACAACTTCACTCATATCTTGTTAGTGTAACTGACACTTCACTGTATAAATAATTAAGTATACCTGTAATTCCTTATTTCTGGTGTCATTCAAAAGTGCTTCTTTGGCACCCAGATCTTCTGTGATTGTAGCCAATTCTCGCTGATTCAAAGCATCTATATCTCGCACCATACGTTCTTTTTCTTGCTGTTTCTCAGCACGCATATCTGCATTCTCTTTTTCCAAATGAGAAATCTGACTTTCATACTGTTCTTTCATATGCACAACATCTTCATCTGAAAAGAAACATAAAGTAAAGAAAATTAATTACAATATAGTGAATACAACAAACTTTGGCATCTACCAACCAGTCTACATGGCACCAAAATCCAGAGCCATCCAAGGGATCCTACAAGATTTGAGAATTTGAGTCATTCACCAGCTGAAATCATGATCATATTATGAAAACAATTTTAAGGTCTGATTTAATTCATCAATGAAGGGCAAAACTTGTGCAATATAGTAAACATGCATACATTTTTTAATTCATGGAAAGATCAAAAATAATTCACTTTATTTCTTTGTCATGTATTGAGTAATGTTAAAAAGTTTAAATTTAAAAGTAAAGATTGCCACAGCACCACTAAGCAGATCAGGACCCCATTTAAATACCAACTCAAGGGGTTAAAGGACTTGTACCTTTAGATTGTTTCAATTCAGACAGCTGACAGGTCAACTGGTTCTTTGCCTCTGTTAGTTGCATTATTTTCTGTCGAGCATTCTTCAGTACTGACTTGGCTCTTTCTTCCTTATCAGCTGCAGAAGTCTTCAATGAATCATTCTCTTTACGAAGTATTTCTGCTTCCTCATGTGAACTTGTAACCTGTGAGTCATAAAAACAACTTAACATAAATTCATGCTATTGAGAATGTAGACACCAAAAATATGTCTAACATTCCCATTCTTCAGCCTCTTCAATAAGAGTAACTTACACCACCAGCAATGATGTGCAAACATGATGCTTGAGTATGAATAATATTCTACATATACAGTCATATAAACATTTTCATTCCATCATCTGATGTTTTAACACATCAGATTGTACACAAGCTAACTTCATCCCGAGTCATTTTCAAACTGGTTGACACCACAAGTGGACAAAAGTCATTTGTTGGATGACTAATAACAACATTTCTTACATGTTATAAATATCTGTACCTGCTCTGTTAGCTCCTTGACTACATCAAAATGTCTGCTTTCAACCTCCTTAATTTTACCCTCCACTTCCCTCCTACCCTCATCACGCAGCTGCTCTTGAGTTTCCGAAGGGATGTCTTGGATGGATGCAGCTACAGCAGTAGCAGCGTCTTCCTTTTCTTTAGCAGCCTTCTTCTCCTCCTCCACTGTTTTTGTTAGTTCTTCAAATTGTGACTTGTATCGCCTGGCTATCTTACGAATCTGGAAGTAGACACAATGTAACAGACCTACTGTGAACTGCAGTAATCCATATACTTATGTAAGAAAACTTTTCAGGAACACAATATTTAAGTTAATTAAATTCATCATCATCATTATTGGCTCTACAGCCCTGTGTGGGCCCTGGCCTTCTTCAAAAGCTTCTTCCATTCTTCCTCATTCACAGACAATCTGTTTCCAAGTCTGCCGTGAATGAGTCCATTTGGCAGTTGCTTTATCTGATTTTGTAACAAGTTGCCCAACCCCCAACATGGAGGACCAGACCTCCACATTTACAGCCCCGGAGGTAGGGTGATCCAGATATACCCCCCAGGCACTGGGTAGCTCGGGTACCTCAGCGGTGCCAGTCCCCGTACCCACTGATGGGTTAATTAAAGTCAGAAAAGATATTTCAACAAAATCCAACAAAGTTTGAAAATAAACTGATATTCAATTAAACATGTTGCTATTTAAAAATGAAAAAAATTATAATCAAGTAATACGAGTGACAAACAAAGAACAATAATGTACCATAAACTGGAAAATATAATTAATTTTGTTCCTGTAACCAACATTTCTGTAGTAAAGAGATTGCACTGAAGCCCTAGGTACAAACAGGAGGGCAGTATAAAAATGGATCTTAAAGAAATAAAATGGGAGCAGTGGCAGGCTCTTGTGAAAATTTAAATGAACTTTTGAGTTCCATAAAAGGTGGGAAATTAATTACTTGCTTTGTTAATGAATGACAATTAGTCTTTCAAGAAGGACCCTATTCCACAACGTTAGTTACTGATTGTAGTTTTGTATAGTGTGACAACCCAGATGACAACTTCACTCATATCTTGTTAGTGTAACTGACACTTCACTGTATAAATAATTAAGTATACCTGTAATTCCTTATTTCTGGTGTCATTCAAAAGTGCTTCTTTGGCACCCAGATCTTCTGTGATTGTAGCCAATTCTTCATTATTCTTAAGTAAGGAAGACTTGGT